GGGTCAGCAGGAACATTACTTGCATTTCCAAACCTACACACCTTATCACGTGGTTTTATATTTTCCTGATAACTGATCTTAGAAAATAGCTATATTTCCCCATCCCTGTATGTTATTAATTAAAGGGAAATATGATAGGGACACTACCATCTGCTCAATTTTTCTGTAAGCCCAAAACTTCTCTAAAAATAAGTCCTATTAATTTTTAAAAATCTAAAATCAGTCACTGGCAGTGGTATACAATGAGTTTCTAGGATCACAGAATGTTACACACTAACGATCATTGTGTCCAGTTTCACCATTTTATAGATGGAAAAAAATCCTCTGCCCACCCACTAATATCACTTTTGTCCAAATAGTCATTTCTTCCCTGGACGACACACCATCCTCTAACTCCCTACCTCTTCTCCTACCTTCCTGTGCTCTTCACACAGCCATCTAAGGGATCTTTCTCAGCTAAACATCTGATCACGTAAGGCTCTTTCTGAAAAAAGCATTCAACAGCTCCTCATTGTTGTTGAGATACTACCTGAAATCCTCAGTGTGGTTCAGGATAACTGCTCCGTCCTCTCATTGGTCCACTGTTACCCTCTCTTTATGTTTTCTAAGTGTATTGGCCTTTTATTCAGTTTCTTGAGAGTGCCGTGTTTTTTCTTACTTAATAGGCTGCATCCGCTGGTTCCATTTGCTTGAACGTATCACCTGCCTTTTTCTCATTGTTGATCCCTCCTATCTTAAAAAAGATAAGTGGCTTAACCTGGGTCACAAGGGGCAGATGTCACTTGAATCTGGCTCCCCCGATTCCTAATTCATGCTTTTGTACAGCACTGCTATTTTCTACCTCAAGCCTCATTCCTTTAGAGAGTCCAAAACGGTCTCCCAAGGAAGCAAGGCTTCTCCAGGACTGCAGGCTACAGAGGCTATGCATTTGTCCTAGGTTCTTATTGCTGACAGTAAAGGTTAAACTGGATGGATTTACCAATGCCAGCATAGCACGCTAGAATGCCGCCCCTTTTATTTTACTAAAAAAAAAAAACCTTTAAAACCATTTTCCTTGGTTAGACAAACTCTAAACCTTGGATGACAAATACAAAGAGATCTATATGCTGTATGTTTCTGCCTGTTTTAAAGTGAGGAATAAACAATTTTCCCATTTAATAGATTAAGCCACAAAGGTCCAGTGAATGTTTCCATTGTGTGTGTGTGTGTGTGTGTGTGTGTGTAAAAGACACTAGAACTAATATCTCTTATCTTCCAAGATAAATCTCTGCCCCATGACTTTCTCTGCAGATAAAACCAAGGAGTACGAAAAGTCATATTCAGGCTTTCTCTCTTAATTTTTTTCTATGGGGGCAATATTTGCCTCTTTGTGTGAACCTTTTCTTTAAATTTGTTTCGGTCTTCATAGTGAATTCAGTAGAATTAAAACATTATTTTTAATCATTTATCTTACTTTGGAAATAACCAGTTATCTGGCAGAAGTTAGCGATGACCATCATTTTATTTTATTCTGTTATTTGGTACCCTCCCCACGTGTCTCTCAATGGGTTGTGTTTGTAAAGAGTCCAATGGGTAGTTCTTGACTTCCTTACCCTTGCCCTTTGAAGGAATTCACTTTGATAGTCCCAAACTGCCCTTTGGTGCAAAAGTCCACATTTCACATATCCCGTATTTTGGCCTGTCCTATGGTGGTTCCGCTCACTAACGGCTCGGTGCACAGTGTTAGTACCTTTACTCCATGGCAGCGCCTGGGCAAGTGAGAACTTTAGTGCATCTGGATTTTATTCTTATAAAAAATAAGCAGATATGTCTAACCACTGCACTGCACACCTGAAACTAATATACAGTCATATGGAATGTCAACTATAATTAAAAAAATAGTCAAGGGGATATAAAGTACAGCATTGGGAATATAGTCAATAATATTGTAATAACTGTACGATGCAGATAGGTAGTAGACTTATGGAGTTGTTACTCTGTGATGTATATAAATTTCTATTCACTATGTTGTTTAGTGCACCTGAAACTAATAAAAAATAAGCAGGTATTAGAAAATTAATATATTATTAATACTTATCATAAGCTGCCTAATAATCATAACAAGAGTTAACATCTGTTGCAGTTCAAGTAACTTTGCATATTTATCTTATTCTAGCAACAAGGTCACGACGTGGGTACTTTTAATATTTCCATTTTACAGATAGGGGAAACTAATTCTTATGGCAGTTAGATAACTTTCCAATGATCACATAGCTACTAAATAGTGATAAGATTTTAAAAATGAGATCCAATAGGCAGATCAAAAACAGCAGAACTTCATTCTCAGCTGCAGGTTCACTTGACAAATTGGATAACTGAGTATTCAATTATGAAGGAAAAAAATGAAAATAATGAATATGCTGAAAGTATATTGTCGACGATAGCATCCAAAAGACTAGATATAGCTGGTGGGGATATTCATTTTTGCTCCCAGAAAACTGACCTGTCTTATAGCATGTAAGAATGTTTTTCAGTGTTTGCATTTGCAAAATGTAGATGCTTTCCAGGAATTATTTAGGCAGAAGACTGGGTACATATTGGATTCAACCTCATGCTGCCATTCATTGATCTAAATCTAGGCCCTGGGGTTCTCTTCCATATTAATGTGTATATATGAGCGTCCACTAGATTTTTCCACAACAGACAAAAAAAACACAGCATACGTATTGAAGCATACAAGCTATTATATATTTTCATAATATAGAACTTTAAGGTATAGTAATCAACAGTGGCAAAATATTTCTGTCTTTGACATTAGTTTTTTTTGTGAGATCCAACCTGTAATTGAGACCAGAGAAAACAGTATGGAATAACAAATCCATGAGAACAGGATAAAAATATCATGAACCGCAAAATATGTCTGAGTATTTAAAATCGTATAGAAAAAATAAATTAGATGAACAATTGTGTAAATATAAATTAAAAAAGATGACATTCTTAATAAATAAAGTTTACTATTTACATTTTTATATATTGCTGAAAGACTTAACTTAGATCCATAAAAACACATAAACAGGAAAAATAATAATAAAACCCAAAATAGGAGCAGCAAATTTATGCGCGTGAGGTACAGAAAAAGGATTGGAATTGTGTTTTATTTTTGGTATTTAGATTTTTTTTTTCCTTTTTCATAGTAGGCCAGTAGAATTCTCATGAGAACAGATTTTAAGCACTTCAATGAAGAGTCATTTTTGGTAGTTTCCAGAAGATGCCAAACAGATTTCAACATCATAATAATTAGAAATACCCATAATAATTATAACAATAATAAAAAAGTATAATATGATACATAAATATGGAAGAGCAGTTTGTAATATGAATACATTTTCTCTAGACGAGATCACAGTTTTATTTTGTAAATATTACATTTAAGTATATATATACACACATATATGTACAACTATATATACATGTGCATATATATGTAAATTTATATTTATATATAATATCTTTATATAGATAGATATCTGCGGACAGGTTATTGATTATAGAGACCCAAGAAAGCAACTCAATAATTGTTCAAAATCCTCTCACTGGCTGCTGGTGTATAGTTTAAGAAGCCCCGAGTTATTTGCACTCAGAAAGCCAAATCGTCTTTGAATGAAACACTCGATGTGAGATTTTCAGTCTGGGAAGAAGAGAGTTTAGGGACTCCCTTCCTCTATAGAGTTGGAAATGGCCTGGAAGTATTGAATAGACAACAGTAAAGTGACTTGTACACTGTAGGATGGAATTGGCTTTTAATCAAATTATAGAACTGGTGAAGGCCAGGATAAGGGAGGAAAAGTCCAATTTACCTAAAAATGAAATATCCCCACATGCAAGCCTCTCTCTTAACATGGGTCATGGCCCAGCAGCTCCAGCTTTGTTCCTTGAAACATCCAATGAGCACTCCCTGTCTTTGTTAAAAGGCCGATGGGCCTGCGCGTTCTTGAAAAGTAACCCATGGACTCTTGTGTCCAGCCTTGGCTGTCACAGATGGCCACAGCCCATTTACAACCTCAGGCCTCACAATCCCCTGGCCTCCCACTGTGAGGTAGGTAAGTAGTAGTGTCTCCATTTTACAGCTGGAGCAACTGAGGCAAATGGAGAGGCAATTTGATGACTTGTTCAAGATCACTGAGCAAACGGCTGTCTGGAGTCAGGACTCGTAGCTTCTTACTCTAGGGACATAATTCCTGTCTTGGCTGTTAAACGTTTCTTTCAAAGGTCAAACAATTGGTAGGAATTTGGCAAAACTTGAATTGAAAAAGAATAGGATCTTTATATTCATTTGCTATTTAGTTCTTCTGTTGGCTATTTGTTTGGTTTATTTTGTTTCTCAAGAACCATGGGAATGACCTGGCTGGTCATGTAGCAGCTTTTTAGGAAAGTGGACTGTGCAGCGTGGTTCTAAGTGCAGTCTTTAAAAAGCCCAGTGCTCTACTGGTCAATGAAAACATTTATGTGAAAAGCATAACACAATATGCTCCCTTAATATTTGGTAAAACCTATTTCAAGCCCGCCCACTCCCTGCTATGGCTGATTGCCACCAGACAAGCCGCTCCCCCAACAACAGCTACATATCAAGGGGGGAGATGCCTTACTTCCTGCACCTACCACAATGCCCGTAAAATAACAGCGTGATAACATCCTGCTCTGTGTCTCCTGGTACGGAAATCTTTATGCTTGTGTCTACCTGCTCCATCTGTAGAAGAAACAATTTCCTTCAGGAAGCACAAAAATAGTTTCTTTAATTCTTATTTTTAATCATGCATTTTTATTTCCTTTTCATCTCCTTCTCTCCTATTAATTGCTATCTGTACAGTTTTGTCACCATCAATTTCTTTTAGTTTTCCCACTTGAAGTAGTTCCAGAAAACAAAACAAAACCAAAACATAAAGCCTCAAAACTGTTAACTTGAATGTATGGTTTCCTTTCTCCTCTCCTTCCTTCTTTTCCCCTCCCTCCCTCCCTTCCTTCCTTTCTTTCTTCCTTCCTTTCTAACACAGGTAAGACCTATAACAAATTGACAGTTACAACCAAGTTAAATCAAACCTGGAAGAGAGGTAGCTGAAATCTGTCTCAAAGAATTATTTTCAACAAATAGCACTTAAGCATTGGCCAAGGTGGGAATAAGACCACGAGACCCGTCTAGTCAGTGTCTCAACATGCCGAAACCAGGAATAGCGGCCGATGCCCTCCACCTTCAAAGCCCTACTATTTGTGACCATTGATCTCTCTCTTCCATGACACCCAATTCAGCCACCAAAATGGACTTCCCAAGGCCTGTCTTCCGTTAAGAGGCGGTTGGCACAGAATCTGGGGGCAGTTAGGGTCGTGGCTTGAAAAGGCTTCCCTAGAGAGGGCTGAGAGGACTGTCTACGCCATCTTTTCTTCCTTGCTGCTACCAGGCTAATACTTCTTCAGACCCAGAATCCCCAAGTGCTTCAGGGCCCCTCAGCTGCTGACAGACACTGTTGCTTCTAAGTGCTTTCTTGTGACTAGTCCATTGTCCTAAACAGGAGCTGATCGAAGGGATGAGACAATGAATATATTCCCAGAAAGAAAATGAAACTGGGGATCAGTGCATTGCACAAATAGAGCAGACCCTCCTCCATTAAGGCCTCACAAGGGCCTATTAATTATGCCTTTCATGTGGGCACGACGCTGGCTGTCAATCAAGGAGCCTCTCTTGCCTAGTAGCCTTGGCAAATATGAATTGGTGAATAACGGGTTTGAGTGATGGTAGGGAAACTGTGGGTGGATCTTTGCTCTGAAGGGCTCAACTCAATCTGTGACTCTAAGATAGAAGTCAGCCTCCAGGAAACTTTGCTCAGCCGGAGAGTGTGGGGATGGACAAGGGTGTGAGTGAAGGAAGAAAGAGGACAAGGGTCAAATTAAAGGAAGCTGGTAAGGTTCTTCTGTGGCTCCTGCAACCCTACTGTTAGTCATGTTGTGTTTGGGCCTCCAAGGCTTTTTGCACTACTTACTGGTGTAATAAAGGAACCGTTCTTAGTTCGTATCTTCTAACACCACACAGGATGATAACTCAGCTCCGGCAAGAGAGGGGCTTTAGAGGTGGCAAGAGTTCTAAGATACTGGAGAGGGGTACACAATGGGATCAATTCTTCTATTATCATTATTATTATTACTTTGCTAATGATCAGTCCTGGTAACTACAGAAAAAAAATGTCCCGAATATAAATGAGACATGAGTTTGTAAGGAGGAAAACATACAGGATTTGAGCCTGGCCTTAACAATGGTGGCAGCCTCTCCATGCTGGCATTCAGTCTCAGTTGGTAATACAGTACAAGCCACACAAAACACTCTAAGCACGGCATCCTTATTTGTGGGCACCTGTGCATAAAGCACCTTGATATATTTTTTAATGTAACAGACCACAGATGGCCAGGAAATGTCTCGTCAGGTGTTTTTGATCGGCTGGTAATTGCTGTTGGGAATGATATAGTAAGAAGCTTTCTGAAATTATTTTTGGTCCCCATAGGAAAAAGGGCTCTAAATGATGAACAATGCCTGCCTCAGATGCAGGAATGAAAAGGGTCAGCGCGCGTGCCTGGTTTTTCCCATTCCTATGCCCGACGTTGTTTTCATTGGTTGTCTTCTCTAGGCCTGAAACGATTTGATTGGTTGCAATCTTTACGTGATACATCCAGTTTAGACCCTACCATCGTCTCCCTTTCTCAATTCTGGAATGATGCCCCCGAAATGACATCTCAGAAATGATGTCAAACGTACCCATTTTCTCCACCTCCTTCTGTATTAATCTCTTCCCATATTAATGAAAAGAAGTGGACAGGTGACTGGCTGGAAAGAGGCAAAGAGGACCCCAGAGAGGTGGAGGCTTCCACGTGTGTTTGACTAATTTACTCTGAAACTTTCAGAGGCTGAACATAACAGAGAGGAAAGGCTTACCCAGCCACAGGTGTGGATGGGAGTACTGGCAGATGGAAGACTGTGGAAAACATGGTGACCATGTTGGGTGTTTGGGGACTGAGGCTGCAAACTCTTGGGCTTCCCTCTGATGGCCCTCTGGAACAGTCTAGATTGGCCACATCTGAGATGATTCTCTGTTCTAGAAGTGTAGCCACAGTGGGGTCCTCTGGACCAAAGCCTGCTCCAGCCTGGAGAGGCAGGAAGGCTTGGTTAACGATAATAACTCAAGACTTCCTAGAATTCTAACAGTTTCTGGGTGGCCCCAACATCACAGAACTTGAACACTATTCCACTTGATTATAAAATCTAACACTGGCTTAGACATTCCGGACGCTCAGTGAGGACTCCAGCATCTTAAGTCCCAAACTCCCTTCCAGGAAGAGAAGCCCAACCATGGGGGACTTACCTTCTCACCAGGTGGACCAAGGAGGGTTGTTCTCTTGCAGAAGTGCTAGGAAGTGAGGAGCTGTGGGACAATGCGGGTCGCTTTTAAGGCAGACTGTTTGGTTGTGTGGGGTTTTTCCTAACCCAGTCCTACCATCTTGGGGTACTCAATGTATAGGATAGAGCAGCAGGGAAAGTAGCAGCAAATGTGGTCCCAAGGCAAGATGTGGGGAATGGGTAGGTTCTCGAAGGATATTACGGCCTCAAGCCTCAAGCAGGGGGCTGTTATAATACGTTGACACTGCAACCCTAAGCCATTTCCAGCTTGGCCTCAAACCCTGGCGTTGGGGTAAATCCCCCATGGCTGCGGAAAAGTTGGGGGGCTTTGTATACCTTGGATTCTTTACCTCATCCTGGGTCCTATTTCCCTAGAAGGTAGGTGATCATTTTATTTCTAATCCCAGAGGACCACACCGCTGTGCGCACCCTACATATTCCAGCCTCAGGGTCCGGCTATCATGGCATCTCAACGCTTGGTCTTAGCGGTTTCGGCAACTCTCTTTCTCCCAAGGACAGTGTTGGCTAGAAGCTTGGGAAAGGAAAGATTCACTTTGTTCCAGTCTAGTTCGGCTCAGTCTCCAAAACTGCCCTCAGACGGATGTTTGTATGGGTGCGTGTGCATGCATGTGTACTAGCCACAGATGTGCACACTCCTAGGTACAGGACATGTTTCTTGCTGTGGCCATGTGACAAATGGTTAGAATTTAGGAGGCTCTGGGACTGCACGCTGCATGTGTAATCCATCTAAGACTTTGGGATGGGATTCCATTCCATTATTCAACATGGCGAGACTTGGCTCATGCGTCCCCACTGTGAGTCCTTCCTGGGTGACATTAAAGGCAGACCGGTTGGGGGCTAAGGATCCCTGGTGTGGAGAGGCCATTCCGTCGAGCAGCTGACTGTGAAATCAATACCAAAGGGATGTGGGTCCTGGCGCTGGGAATTCTTTGACAACTCCTTGTCCTTCCTTAGCCATGGCTGTATCCCCGGAGGTCTTTCCGGCTGTGTTCTTGGGCCTGAGGGTCCCGACAAGCACAGTCTCCTTGTAGGTCACAGGACATAGGGAAGGGGGTGACCTGCCAAGAGAAAGAGAAGACGTGAATCAGGTGGTTGTGGCTGAAGTGCCAATTTTCAGAGAGGCATTGCAGGACGAGGGACAATCGTTGGATTGGGTGGGGCAGCAGATTCAAGGTCAAGTCATGGCTGTGCTTCTCCCTAGCCATGAACATCACTGTGGTCATTATCATAGCATCTTCCATTTTCGGGGGCATTTATCATGGGTCAGGCAATGTGCTAAACACATTCCCAATAGGGAAACACCGAGCCCTTTGACAACTCTGTAAGAGTTTAGTACCTAAGATAGGTACTAAAGCAATTACCCTTTTACAGATGGGGAAACTGAGGCTCAGAAAGGGGCAATTTGCCCATAATAGTAAGTGACAAATATGGTATTTAAAGTAGGACAAGTTACCTCTCTCTGAGCCTCTGGTTCCTCACTGTCGAACTATGATAAGACCCCCACCCTTGCACTGTGAACTCTAAGGGCTTGAATGAAATCATGGGTGAAAAATCTCAATGCACCGCCCCAGAGTCGGTTCATAGAATTGTACAATGGAACAGCAAACTTACAGGACTGTTGTATTGATCAAGTCAAGTAAAGGATGTGTAAGTGTCTTTCAAGAAAACATTAACTCTCTGCACATATTGGAATTTTGTGTTTGGGAGGCAATGATGAAAATGACAAAAGCATGTTTCAGCAAGCTGAGACCACCTCCTAGGGGGCCTGAAATCCTCCTGGTGGGGAACATTTCACATAGCGATGTTTGCATAACAATTGGCTGAAGGATCTAGGAAGCAGATCTGAGCATAAGCAAAAGCAAGAGGCATACAATGTGGAGCTCTGCTATATGTATAGATTACAAAAGCTGGGGGAAATAAGTAATAAAAATTAAAGTATTTTTTTAAATTAAAGAAACAAGCAAGAAAAAGTGAGAGGCCTGAGTTTCAGTTCCCACTCCGTCCCTCCACATGCTCTGTGACCTTGGGCAGGGTCTCCTTCCTAGAAAAGAGCCTAGCCGAGCAAATGTCTTCCCCATGCAGGGGGTGACCTGTGTTTCCCTGCGTGAGCCCAGCCTGGGCTAACGCAAGCAGATTTCACCTCCTTGCATCATGACATTTGCATATAACTTTCCCCAGAGGGTCCCCCATCTGCGCACATGGATTTAATGACCTCATTCGCCTCCTGCCGGGGCAGAGTAGCCAAGTGCTCACACAGCCTCAGAGAGCATCTTTGTCTCTCTAGCCTGTGGGCTCTTTCTCTATATCTACCTCATCTCTGTCTCTTTGCCCTCCCTCCCAACCTCTCTTCCCCCTCCTGAAATTGCTGACATTTACAGCAATTTCAAATGTAGCAACGGACAGGAAGATGGGAAGTATAAGCCCCAGCAGCTCTGTCACCTAACTGAGGTGTGACCGGGGAGCACGTGACAATTTCTCTGAGCCTTAGTTACCTCATTCATTAAATGGGAAGAGTGAACGCGCACGCCTCCCTGAGGTTGTAAACAAAGTGACAAAAAGCACCGAGCACACAGTGCTTGGCCTGTGCTCAGAGCTCAATCATGTATGTGTCTGTCTCGTGCGTTCTTATGTTCCCAGGCCCAGTCACAGAATGAACACATGCCTGTTCGTTTCTCCTTCTCTGTGACTCTTCCCTTGCGCTCACGTCCAGCGCATCTCAGTGCACGGGGGCGTGATGCTGGGTAAGCGTTCTCCCAGCTGCTTCTTCTAGGCAGCGCCTGCCATGCTGCATACAGCTCCTTGCTGTTCCCCTTTTTAGAGGTTTATCTTCCCAGCCGCCCTGCCTTCTCTAAAAGATTATTTTGCAACCTCTTCACCTCCAAGAGCACAGAAGGTTAGAATTCCAGAAGACGGAGAGAAAACCCTCCAGTCCAAGTGGGGAAACTGTGGGCAGAGCCAAGTCCAAACGGAACGACTGAGGCAGAGTGGGGAGAGTATCACCGTGGGAGCCAAAAGGCTGGGGTTGGCACCCTTGCTGGGCTCATACTTGTTGAACCATTTTGGGAAAACCCCTTCACTGCCATAAGCCTGAGTTTCTATATCTATAAAAGAGTGATAAAAAATACATATATGCCGTATTTCATATGGTCTTCAGGATCCAACAAGAAGAAATATGCAAAAGCCCTAGCACATGGCCAAACCCTCAGGAGATGCTTAATGCTAAATACACGTGTGCTGACTCAAATTTCCTACCAGCTCCTGTTTCACCATCTGTGACACCTTTCCTGCCTACCGTCCCCTCTCTCCCACCTCCCAGACTTGGGCAGTCTCTTTGTCCTGAACTCACCTATTCCTTTATCTGTCCCCTTCTGCTGCCCTTGCCCACACTTTTAACATTAGAATGACCCAGTTCTGTCTAATGCCTCCTGCACAATTCCCTCTGTAACGCTTTCCCATTGGGCTCTATGACCCATTAGGGACAGCTTCACACCTGATTTATCTCTCATGCTTCCTGCTGTACCTCACACAGCAAAAACTCAACAGATTCTATCTCTCAACATAAGACCCAGAGTCCTTAGCCCAAGTTCAAAGCCTGATAGGATCTGATCTCCACACGCTTCTTAGACCTCAGCTGGCTCCTTTCTTCCCCTCACTCAGTGGCGTATTGACTGATTTACTGGTTTCTCAAATACGCCGAGTGCTTTCCTACTTTTAAGTCTTTAGCTATTGATGATCCTCCGTCCTGCTGCGTTTTCCTGGCCAACGCCTCTTCCTTCTTCAGGTCTTATCTCCGCCCTCATTGGCCTGACCAATGACGCCATTGCCTTCATCCCGTATCTCAGCATCCTATTTCTATGCCCTCCTCGCACTGAGTCACTTCCACATCTGTATGCCAGCTCAGTCTGGGTAGGGACCGTGTCTGCCGTTGAACTCAGCCTTTCTCCCACAGGACAAGTATCCGATGAACCCGTGAATGGGGGACACATGGATACACGAATAGACAGGCAGAATACAGTCAGGGAGTCCCTTCTTTGGCACTCACTTGCTGGGTGACTTTGTACAAGTTCCTTCACTTCTCTGAGCTTTGGTTTCTCTATCTCTGTGTTAAGAGTTGATTTAATGATCTCTACCTTCCCATCTGTCTGACAATCCTTCTCAGTCTGGCCAGGAAGGACCTAGAAATGCACATTCTCTGCAACCCCTGCCTTGCATGTTCCCCTTCCTGCCACCTCCATTCCATCAGCTTCTCCCAGTCATCAGCTTCCAGGGCCCAGCCTCCCATTAGTCTCTCAGGCCGGTCCGGCCACTCTGGCTCTGCAGACAACAAGTGGCCAACCTCCTTCCTCCAGGTTGGCCCAGACCGCTTCGGCATTTCCCCAAAGAAATGTGTCTGGCGCCTAAGGGAAGGAACCCCAATCAGAATACAGCAAAGCCCAGACGGTTTGCTCTCAGGAGGCAGATCTGGAACCTCTGTCTTCACCACATGCTGAAAATGCAGCTGCATTTCCTGTGCCCTGGCGAAGAGCTTGGGAACAGACAAGCCTGGGTTCAGGGTGGGCTCCATACGGCGCTGCGTGGCTTTTGGCAAGTCCTCGGCACCCAGTGGACCGCATGTCCCCATCTCTAAGACAAGGGTCTTCATAAAGGCCTCATGGGGCTCTGGGAAGGAGTCCCCGAAATAACACTGTCTCCAAACCAGCTCCCACAGTGTCCAGTGCGGACAAAGGCATGGCATCTTGTCCCCTCCCCAGACCCCTCCTCACTCCTCTTGGGGAACTGCCTGTTCAGAGCCTGTCCTGGGGTCTCCTCTTGCCACAAGCGTCCTGCTGACCACGGGCCTACAACTGGTAAGAGCAGGGTGGATACAGCTTGCTCCATCCACCCTTCCAGGTATACCTAGGTCTGACCTGGAAGAGACCGGGGAAGCCTGTTTATGTGGGTTCACAGCAGTGAACACCACTTCACACACGCACACACACACGCAAGCACACACATGCACACACGCGTGCACAGCATTTCCCATGGGTCTGCCACGTGTCAGATGGTTTCCACAGGCTAGCTTGTTGACTCTGTACAACCTCGTGAGGCTATCATTATTAGCTACCCATCTTGCAGATGAGAAAACAGAGGCTTCACAATGTTGTAACAAAACAAACTTGCCCTGAGCCTCACTACCTGTCAGTAAGTAGAGGATGCAGGATTCTAAACCCCACTCCAAACTGAGTTCTCAGCAAGCAGGAGTAAAGGGAATGCACCTTCCTGACAGCCTGGCCAGGCTGCCTGCTGCTTTGTCTAATGCAACAGCCTTTTGTCTCTTATGTGCCGGGCCCTGAGTAACTCAAGGTGCATTATCTCACTCTTCCCAACAACCCCGATGAGCCAGCTAGTCTTCCTATCCCTGCCTTCCATCTCCGAGGAAACTAAGATGCAAAGAGGTGAGTCACTGGGCTAGCAGGTGGCCTGGCATCTGCATCCCTGTTCGTAACCATTCCTCCACACTGTCCCCCAAATGGCAGGCAGAGCGGGAGTCAAGGTCCCCTTTTCACAGAGAAAGAAACTGAGGCCTGGAGAGAAGGGTCACATCCTGATAAAGTCTGCTCTTGCAGGACTCCCAGATCCCCAGACTCCCCCAGGCAGCTCCCCACATTCTCCCACAGATGGCCTCCCAAGAAAACCTGCCACCCGCAGCACAAACGCCTGAGGTGGCCAGTTTACATGTGGAATTCCCAGCGCCATGTGGCTAGGCTGTCCCATAAATGGCTTGGCCACCCACCCTGGGATGCTGTCAGCAAGCCCAGGTCAATGACTAAAGGCCAGGATTCTCTCCTTTTTCCCTCTGGGCTGCAGAAGTGGCTCGGCTCCAGGCCTTTCCTTCCTCCTGCCCAAGCTGACACCTCCATCCACGTGTGTAAGCGGGCTCAGCAATGCAGCCCAGGCCCATGCACCACAGGCCCTGGCTGCGGGTCTCACCCGAGGCTGGGTGACAGGCAGGGGCTGGATTCCAACTCAGAATCAGCAGGGAGGTCCCAAGCAGAGAATGCGCCCTGCGGGGAGCAAG